GTTCCTTGAAAGCCGTTTCAGTGCCTTCTACAGTAGAAAAGTGGAATTATAGATTAAAATATGAAGGAAGATGCACGCTAAAGCTATCTTTAGCTCTCACCTGGCTGCCAATTGCACACTGCAAATAGTCAATTTGCTTACAATACCTTCTCCTTGGTTCAGTCTTCTTTACTTTGAAACTATCTATCACAGAGTTAAAGACAAAATGAGAATTTTGTTTTCAAATGAGAAGGCAGACCTGTAGCTGTGAAATTTATTTCTTCAATCATGCTATGTGGCCCCCTATCCTCAAGAATAAAAGATGAATGTGTTCCCAACCTAGACACACAGTTTGGGAATGCGGGTGAGGTGGAATAGCTGGCCTGGTAAGCATTTTGTATTGCATTGTAAATTTGAAATTGTCACAATGGAAACAATAATGGCAGAGGTCTTGTTAAAGCTTGCTGAAAAATTATAGCTTGCCACTTTTTATTTGAGAAGTTATTTCTGCAAAGTAACAGACCAAAACTAGAGTGTTCAATTAAAGTGGGAAAATACTCTGCCATGAGAATATAAAAATAATCAACCCAGCCTAAAGGTTCTTCAAATTCAGTAGTAATTTCCAACAATAAGCAGAAAGATGCTTGCAGGAAGCAGACAAGCAGAAAATGAAATCAACAGCCATACTGTTTGTTAAACCGCCTTGCATTTAGAGACACTACAACGAGATTCTATTTACCTTTTGACAGACCACTTTGAGAGTAACCCTAGATATGTTTAGATCAAAAAGAAGTCCTACAGTGGTCAACATTCCAAGGAACTGTATGACGTTTGCCCGTATGCATGTGCTTAGGACTGTGCCTTTTATTATTTTCCATGGCATTACCCCATACACTGCTGCTGTGGTTGCTGCTGTTGCTATGTGCCATCAAGTTCTCTCTAGGTTATGCTGAGCCTGTGTATGAATGCCCTCCAACATATCCTATATGATAGCCCTGTTCAGCTTTTGTAAACCAAGGATGTGGTTTCCTTGATGGAATCCATCCATCCGCTATTTCCTATTTTCTTCTTCTGCCTTCAACTTTCCCTAGCGAGATTTTCTCCAAAGATCGTCTTGCTTTCTCTTGGTCCGCCCAAAGTACAACATCTTTAGTTTTGCAATTTTTGCCCCCTTCTCCAGTTTCATCTAGTGTCCCCTCTTCTTCCCATCTCAGGCCACCGGTTGGCCTGCTGTTGGCGTCCCTTCTCAATGCCTGGGAAGGCATGAAGACGGCTAGTGCCAGTCTCCCTTCCTTCTGCTGCTCATATGTGAGGCAGGTTGCGCAAACATTTGTTTTCAGCTGCTTTTACAGGCAAGCAGGCTCTCCTTTAAAGTGGCAAAATGTTTCTTTCATTTGGCTTTTAATTAAGCAGTTTATTGTGGTCATGCTGTTTATGCTTTAATATCTATTTTAGAGCAAACTGATGACAAGGTAACATTCACTGTGAAAATCCACAGTTGTAATAACATTTTTAATCACCTTGGCCTGTGGTGTTTTGTTGTTTATAGCACTTCTGTTTACCATTAAGTGTTCGCTTAATTCTAGTACAGTTGAACCGTACTAGCAAATGAGTCACTTCCTACAGTTCCATGCTCATAAAACTCCCCCACTGCTTCAGTTAGCACACAATTCTTGCTGAATGGCAACATTCAATGCACTAAGGAGAGTCTAGACATGATCTCTCAGTGACGTGCTAACACCAGCCCAGTGCAGATGACCAACACACAAAGAACAAGGCTTTCCCGTGACAGACTTGCTCTTTCATCGGTAGCAAAGGCAGTAGATCAAGATCTTTTCCTATCATCGATTCTAATGGCTGAGAGCATTGCGAGGTGGTAAGGCTTCCCACATTAACCATCCAGTGAACTGGCCAGCTTTACCAGCAATCCATAGCAGGTGAAAATGATGGAGGAAGAGACTTCCATATAATAACGTGAGAGTTGTCTTTGCATGAACCACTAATTTACCCTTCTTTTCTTCATGGTTCTCAGATGTTATTATTATTATTATTACATTTTTATACTGCCCATAGCCAAAGCTCTCTAGGCAGTTGACAGCAATAATCATAGAATCATACACTCAAGTCACCCATCCCACTTCTGCCCAGGCCTGACCCTGCTTAGCTTCCAAGATTAGGCAGGATCAGGCACTTCAGGCTACATGGAAGCTGTTAAATTTAAGATATCTATTCCATGTATTGGTTCTATATTTTGAAAGATTCAAATACTTGCTGAGATGCTTTTTAAATCAGCTGAGCTCTTACTGCTCATCATCTTTCTCTTATTCTCTTTTTATTCTGTTTTATCAATGTTGTTATAAAACATCCCAAGAAGTTTGTGAAGGGATGGTATAGAAAAGTTTTAAATAAAAAAATAAACAAATTACATGATTGGGTACATTTGAAGAGTTGATCATTTTAAGCTGCAGTTCTGTCTCTCACTTTACAGTTCCATGTGGACTGTGTGATGTGGGAGTTGTGGAGACCATGTGACTACATCATCTATAAAGCCGTTTAAACCATAATTTCACATTACCACTTCCTATTCTCCTGCACTCTCTGCCACTGCCGTGAGAATGAGAAAAGTAGTCTGCAATTTTCACTACCATTTGAAATTAATTGCAGTATGCTGTCTGAACCTAAACTGTAGATAATCTTAGCTATGATGAATGAAAACAACCCAGCTTTATAAACTATGGTTTAAAGTTGTCTTGTTTCTACTAGAAATAATTAAGACTGTTTGCAGTTTGTCCAACCACAATCAGCTGTGGATAATCAATAGCCAACACAAATAAATTCTTCTAAACTCTTTCTCACAGCTAATGTTCATCTAGAACACACATAGCTTTCCCAATCCAATGTAGAAAATGCAGTCTATTTTCCACAGTCAGGTGAGAGTATAGTGATTTCCCTTGTGGAAGCCCCTGAATGAACTAGAGGAACCCTTCACAATGTCATATGCACACAGGCTGAAGGACAGAGCTGTTAAAATTGTTAAGAGCTGTTATTTTATATTATTAATTTGTTTTATATTTTGAATGTATTATATTTTAATTTTATGTTGTGAGCCGCCCCAAGGCTTCGGCGAATGGGGCAGCATAGAAATGTTTTAAATAAATAAATAAATAAAACTCATTTAAGAGCACCAAAGGAGGTAGCAGATATAATGGAGGTAATTCTGGGCAGAGGAGGCAATTAAGTTACATCTATTAAATAGGGCATTTTCAGTCTGGATCACCTAATAGTATACATATTATGAACATAAAATGCCTTGCCAGAAAAAGCATTTTGAACTTGAAGCCCAAGATGGTACTTCTCCCCACAGGGAGCCCAGCTCAGGTATTACACAATTCCTTCTCCTGTGTCTCAACCCTTAGGAGTACATTCCATCCTCCTGGCTAAGAAAAATGTCAGTACCAGGTTAGCCACTGTTAACATTAACTACAATTCTTTGAAGAAGAACTTGAAGCTATGACTTCCTCCTGGTGAAAACCAAAACTGGCTTATGATGAGGGGTAAATCTGCTCCTGAGAGAGAAAGAAGTGGGGCAAGGAAGCGCATGTTCTCAGTGCAGACTCCCAATTTCTTCACTGCAGGGAGGAGATGTCAGGACTATACCTGCACGAGTTCAGTTTTATGCATTTGTTTCATTTCCATACCACCCTGTAGCCGAAGCTCTCTGGGCAGTTTACAACAGTGCATAAAGCAAAACAATAAAGCACAATATCAATAACATAAAGCAACAATGTAAAAAGAAATTAACGTTAATTTAAAATAGCTTTAGAATACTTTAAAAGACAATTAAAAGACCTGGCAAGAAGCAGCAGGATAATCCCCTCAGGCTACTGGATAACCAAGGAGATTTTTAAAGGCCTCTGCATGGAGGGCTGTCTTGACCATTTCAAGTTCTAGATGGGTTGCAGCAGGGACATGGTTCCAAAGATGGATGGTCACAGTATAATTTATCTTGCAAGCCTACTCTTGTGCATTAGTGAAATATTAGAATAGAGTCCTAGTATTTTATTGGGTTATGTTGGAATCCAGAATTATTTCTGGATCAGCCCATTAAGAAAATATGTGTACACAGTCTACAATAAATAGCAACCATGTCTCTATTGTGAAAAAAAGGAAAAAGCAACAGGACAGTTGTGCAATGTTATAACAAAGGCATGACCTGGGCAAGGAGGACAAAAGGATGGTCTTCCAGCAACAATCAGAGTGTTGGTTGAAGGGTCTAATCTGCTCACTATATGCTGCTGCATAAGGTTGTTCACACACAGGCTGCATTAAGATAGGCTGAAGCTGCATGGACCTGAGGTCCAAGAGGCACAGCCAAGTGCCGGTTCAGCATGCAGGGTCCTCTAAGAATTGCCTGAACCAGCCCAATGCCACACTTTCTGAAGACATTCAGTGTAGACATTATCCTGGGAATCCACTGTATTGATTCCAGCCATGCAACAAAAGTACACGTTGAATTCACATTGATTCAAGACAGAAACATATTAAGGGTATAAAGCAAAAAGTCCTTGTGACGAAGGTTAGGATGCAAATTTCACACATACATTAAGATACACTTTGTTATGATGCAACTTTTCCTTTCTTTTCCTTAGGGTCAGTAAGAAGAAGAATTCCCACTAATTAGCACTAGCACTTCACTTCATTATCATAGGACAATTTCATTTGCAACTCCTGTGTCAAATTTTCTCCTTAACAAAAAAAGGTTATATAAGTTCTTGCATAACCTGCCAAGCCAGGCAAACTGTGGAGCATTTGCAAAATAGCTCATTAAAGCATCCTCTCTTATAAAAAAACAGTTTATAACTGTCAAAGATTGCTATAATGGAAGCAAACAAATATCTATCAAAGTTTTCCAGTTGCTCAGGGAGTCTATAATTTTAAGTCAATAATTACCAATAATCATCAAAGAAAGAGAGCTTGGACAGGGTAAGGAAGTTATTAATTGGTTAAATATAGCTACTTACCTTAGAATGCATAGGCATACTTTGCCTCCTGATGTTAACCGGCAAAATCCAAATCTTTGTTTGCTTTCGATGTCAGTAAGCACAAAGGTAAAGTGCTGCCCAACCTGGGTTACCCTAGAAACAAGCAGAAAAAATAATGGGGAGATCCAGAAAGTAAGGGGGAACTGTGCTCTAAACTCGTGTGTGTACACTTACACTAATTGGAAAACAGGTAAAGGATTCTGGAACTACTTCATAAAAAGCAGAAAAATAACTCTGTCATACACCTAATAAAATCACGGAAGATGGAGGAAAAACCTTATCATCCTAGAACTACAATCCAACTACTAGGAGGCAAAAGCAAAATAAGTGCCTCACGTCTCCACAGCCCAACTGGCAATAATGTATTATCTTATTTCCTATCATGGGAACATAGGAAACTGCCCAATCAGACTACTAGACCTTCTAGCAGGTCTCCTGTATTTCAGATGGGATCTTTCCCTTTCATACACCAAGATATCAGAGATGAAACATGGGAGCTTTGGCATGCAAAGACTTAATAAGAATAATTCAGATATTATTGCATGAATCATTTTCTAATTCATATTGTTTCTCAGAAGCACCCAGAAGGCAACCAAAATGTGTCTCATCTATTTCTGACATCTGTAGCCCTTCAAGGCAATATTTCTATTATTCTTCCAGGTGATAGAAGCATAGAAACAGAGCAAGTCAGAAGGAGCTTCCCAGGCCATCTAGTCTGGCGCCCGGCTCCAGCCAGCTCTGCTCATGACATTCTTACCACGTCTAGCCACTTAGGCAGGCTATGGGTTCCCTTGGTTTGGCTACAAATGCTCTTTCTGTCTGGCATCCCCTGTTAGGTATCCAAATGCTTTTGAAGTCCTTGCCCTCTTCACCTCCCTGCTTCGCCCGTCCCATGTAGGCTCCTTGCAAAGTCTGCAGTCCCAGTTCCTTCCCTATTCTGGTCTCACCACACTTGGATTCAGCCTCTGAAACCCTGCAGTCTTGGCCAGCTATGTCCCTGCACTAATAATCCCCTGACCTTTTCATCTAAGATTTATATTATAGGCAATTAGAAATGCTCCAAGTGGAATTGCAACCCTTTACAGAAAAGCCACAATTCTGAATTTTTTACTATTTACTGTTGTTAATATTTTCAAACCCAAGGCACTTAATAGCCCTTATGTTATTCATCTTTACAAGTAGGAAGCTAGGAAGCTGTTTTACTCTAGACCAGACCATAGCTGCTACACTCCGGTATTTATTATATTTATATTCCCCCTTTCTTTCAGTGAGACCCATACAGTTCTCTCCCCTGTATTTTATCCTCATAACAATCTTGTGAGACTGGCAGAGTGGACCCTAAAACCAATGGATCCTAGCTCTCAATTTTTGGTGTGTGATTTAAAGAATATATGGAACTATTTGGTAAAAAATATCTAAAAGAATCTTAAAAGCCTTTAAAAGTAACAAGTAACTCGATCGCTCTTCTGCCTGTGTAATATTTTGATGTCCTCCAACCATCTGTCTCTATTCACATTTCCTTGCACTCCTGGCAAGAAGAAACTCCAGCCATTACATCCTCTCCCTCAACGTCAACAGCTTCTTGTTGCAAAAGGATGTTCTCTCATATCTGATACTCCAATCTTCTCTGTTCCTTTTGGGCAGATCAGTCATACCAGAAATAAGAAAGAAGGAAAGAACTGGGCTTCCAGGTTCAACAAAAATGCAATGGCCAGGTGAGCATTTCCAGCTTCTTATGCCTCTGTGACCAAATGAGCAGCCAGTGCAAAGAAGCTCTCAGAACTGCACTCTGTTCAAAGGGGAAGGGTTTATATGTTGTCATCCATTAGGGATGAAACCTATGGACTGGACTGCTCTGCAAGGGGACTCATGTGACTGCTAGACAACATGGCTTTATTCAGCACCATGTATGCCACTCACAGTTTTGCTATAATGCCATTGCTTAAAAACATAGGAAGAGCCATGCTGAATCGAGCTAAAGGTCCATCTAGTCTAGTATTCTGGAAGACCAACTGCCAGGACAGGAGTGCAGCAAGAACCTCCTGCCTGTGTTTCCCAGAAACTGGTGTAAATTGGCGCATTGCCTTGGATACTGAAGGTAATGAATCACCATATGGATTGGAAGCCATGGATAGATGTATCCTCCATGAACTCATATTAGTGGCCATCCATTTATTTTTGTGAAAGTTAATTTCATTGTTTCAACTAAGCAGTGTGTGAACAAACAGCTTCTTTTATTTGTGCTGAATCTGCCGCCAATCAGCTTCATGGGATGCTTAGTGATAGATGATGAAGAATGTAGAAATGCTTCTATTTATACTTTCAGTGAAGCCTTAGAGTAGGGATTACAGTCCTTGTAGAATGACTAATAAATCCAATTCTACAAATCAAAGATTAAAAACAAACAGGTACTTCTCTTCAAGCAGAAAAAGAAAAAATACATTTAAAAATTTTAGTTTTGTAGAACATGAGCTGTTAGTTATGCCACCAGTTAAGTGGTGTATTTTATAATATTATATTACTGCAAACATAAAATTGTCCTCACAAATTGTCTCCATATCTTGACAAATGATCCAGAAGATAATCACCAGCTAGCTCATACTCCTTTTCTTGCTTCTTTCTTTATATGCAATGCGTGTTTTTATATGATCTCAGAAGAAATAATAAATCATTGAACGCAGAACATATATAAACATCAATCGATCTTAGAGACTGCAAAGGGCTCTGTCAAGGTCGATATAATATATTATATGGATAAAGTTTTAAATGCATATTTAAACAGGGAATGCTTTTCTGACAATGAAACAGATAGGGAATATTTATATTGCTATATTCATTACCAAGGCATAATGTAAAGCTTTCTTTGAGGGCAGATTAAGACTGACCTCCCCTTTAGGTATGAAAATTCACATTATCAGCATCAAATGTAAGTGGTTTGCCCTTGGAAGAAGAATGCATTTTCCTGTAGATTTATAGGAGTCCACATAATTGTTTAGGAATGTGAAGTCATTCAAATGACAGAAAGTTCTTCAACAAAAGTTATGAGTTGTTACTATGCCCCATATACTGATGCTTTATATTTTGCCCCACAATGTGATTTTACAATACAGAGAAAGCAGTATTTTAGTCACTGCTTACATAGTTTAAAGGATGCACAAGAGAGAGGTTTATAAAGTTACCATTGGGGTACAGAAAGTAAACAGAGAGACATTATTCCCCCCCACCTCTCTCTCTCTCTCTCTCTCTCTCTCTCTCTCTCTCTCTCTCTCTCTCACACACACACACACACACACACACACACACACACACACACACACACCAGTGCTACACATGAAGCAAGAAAATTGATTGGCAAGGAGGTAGGAATAAACAAAAAAGTATTTCTTTGTAATTGAAAACAATTTAACTATGCAACTCACTAATGTGTAACTTAGATATTTTTTAAAAGAAAAATAATACTTTTTTAAAAGAAAAATAATACAAAGATTATTTGAAGTAACTGCTACCAAAAACCTTCATGTTTAGGCTGCATATAGATGATTGTGTTTAGAAACAACAGTGCAGGCCAAGACATCAGGTTTTGTCCTACTTGTAAGTTTCCCAAGAAATATCTGCTCCCATTGAAGGCAGAATGCTCTATTAGATGGATCTTTCACAAGATCTACAAAAGGAAGTTCTATTATTATGGCTCTATTTTAAAGCCTTTATACTTGGATAGAAAAGTACAGTGGCACCATAGTACGTAGTAATCCCACTAAGCTTTTATTTGTGGGTTTCATTTTCATTCTCCTACTGAAAGAAACAAGTGTTTCTTGCATACATTACATAGGATTTCCCAACATGGTGCCTTCCAGATGTATCAGACTTTGCCTTCAATCAGTTTCAGTCAGCATGTCTAATGGACAGAAATTCTGAGCGATGTGGTACAAAACTCATGGATGGAACCGAGCTGGAAAACCCTGCCTTAAATATTTATATATAACATGAATAAAGTGCAAGTGTACCTTTTGCCCTTTGGGTGTCAACAAGTCTTCACAAATCAATGCCAGCAAATGCAACATTATTAAGAGAAAAAAGAATGAATTCCCTGCCAATTTTTAAAAATCTTATTAATTTCATCCAATTATTATTAGATTTATACACCCCTCTTTTTCCCTCTTGCAAAGAACTCAAGGCACCTTTCATAGCTCTCCTCCTATCAATTTTATCTTAACAACAATCCTGTGAAGTAGATTAGGCTGAGATTGGTCCAAAGTTACCCAATGAAATCCATGGTGGCGAGGGGACTACAGCCCAGATCTCATTCTATACTACCCACTATACCAAAGCAGCCCTCAAAAGTACACTTCTTCAAATGTTCACTGAGAACAAGTCTCCACCTTGGATTAAACACACTTTTAGCTATTATATCAGGTACAACTCTCCATGGAACTGGCTGCAGACTTCAGCTTGGGTTAGAGTAAAAAGGTACCAGAGACTTTGGGTACCAGAGAGTAGCCCAAAAGTCAGAATTCTATCTAAAATGTTCGTGTTTCCAGTTAGTTCTGTTATGGAAACAGAGAAGTCTAAAACATAATGCTTCTAAATGGTATCAGCCATTAGATCACTGCTTGAAAACAGCTAAGAGTATCCATAAATTTTGCTTTCACCGGTATAGATATACCATACCAGATTATTTGGAAGGAAAACTAAATTTTCATGATCCATTGCCTTAACAGAAATTGAATCAGCTTATCACTTGACCGTATACTGAAGACAAGCAGCCCCTGAGTTACAACGCATTCCATTCCTGAGAAAAGGGAAATTCATCATTAAGTCAAATTGGTATGTAAGTCAGATCATGTGTAGTCAGTCCTCCACATTCACGGGGGTTAGGGGTTTGGGTCCCTCATCAAAGTGGAAAATCTGAAAATACCCCTAGGGTCTCCCCAGCCCAAACTCACCAGTGCCTCCAAGGAAATGTCAGTGAGATTTCCCTCTCCAAATGGGTAGAGCAGATAGGCATGCTTTCGAGGCCCTTCCTGTCTCACCTTTTGCTTCCTTTCCCCCTCTATGGTAATGACAATTTTCTGCAGTAATTTTTAAAAATTAAT